TGGGGTACGGGTGCCCCCCTGGGACCGGTGCGAAGTACGGCTGGCTTGGAGGCTACCAGCTCGTCCCGGGGCCAGGTCTCTTGTCTGCAGAACTTCTTCTGGTCTGGAGCTCCGAACCTGGTCACAGGGAGTAGATCACCATTTGCCTTGGTCATCATGCGTTAGCTGAGTTGTTCTCAGGGTCAGAGGATGTCCTGATGGTCTGGGGCTCAAGATGCAGATGGTGGTAAGGTGGAAAGAGCCAATTAGACAGGTAATGGGTTTTACCATTTATGGGTTTTACCATTTAAAGGGTCATAGTTAGCAATTTGAGTGTTATCAGGAGCAAGGCTGATGCTTAAGCACTGAGGCAGCCTGCAGACACGCTGCAGGCAGCTGGTGAATGGTCACGCATCCCGCAGGCTGGCTTCAGTACAGGAGAAGTGGAGTTTTGCTGACTAATGTCTCTGGGAAGGGGAATAACTTGCAGTTTCTGCCTGCAAGTTGACAGTTCCTTTAAAATCAGGCCTTTTGAGCAGCTTCTCCTGCGAGCACAGCATCTGCAGCACCGCCCTGCAGAGGCATCTCCTGCCCCCCAGCCGCCAGCACCGCCTTTACAACCCATTTTTTAAATTATTATTATTATTTTTTAATTCACGGGACTTCTCAGTCTGTTTTCCAAATCCAAACATACCAACGGGGTGCCGATGCTGGGGCTGGGGGCCTGGGGAAGACCCGTACAAGCACGGCGATGTTCTTCCCGTGGGTGTTGGTGCCAAAGGCAGCGTCGCCAGCGCTGCCCGGACGCGGTGCGGGGTGATGGTGCCTGGGATGCTGCTGTGGACCAGGTGGGATTTAAGAGACCCACTGTGTCTTGGTGACCTGCCAACATCCGTTGTAAGGCATGAGAAAATCCCAGTTATAGCTGCTGTTAGTTTAGTTTTCTCTGTTATCACAGTTTGTGACCAGCCCCAAAATATTTCTCATGGGAGGTAACGGTAGCTGGACAAAACAGCCTGTTGTGGGGCCACCAGCGATGTAGGTGTGTGACAGAGGTGACGCCGCTGCGGGAGAGCCCCCAGTTTGTTGTAAAGCTGGAGGTGGGGTAATGCCTGCTGTAGGTGACCCTGCTTCGGCAGGAGGGTTTGACTAGATGACCCACAGAGGTCCCTGCCATTCTGTGATTCTGTGGGTGCCAGCACCCCGGAGTCACCCCGCTCCTGAGCACGCGGCTGGGTCCTGCTGCAGCAAGCGCTGCTGGGGAAGGGCAGAAGTCGTGTTGGATCCCGTGCAACGGGAGCACTACGCGCTTGGAGTCGTACTGATGATGGCTGCTCAGGACGCTTATTAACCCCTGCTCTCTCTGCCTCAGCTGCTGCATTTGTTCATGTGATTTGTCTTCCCTTACTTCTCAGAGAGGTGCAGTGACCGTTGGTCACCGTATTCGGTCAGAATACCCCTGAAAACCCTCTTTATCTGGTGCTCCACAGGGATTCAGTGTCCCGCCCCAGACGTCACCCACGGACAGCTGAGCCCTGCGCAGAACTTCACCTACGGCAGCACAGCCACGCTCCAGAGCGATGCCGG